CTATATATTATAATGTATCAATATACATATAATCCCTTAAGTAATTTGAACAATTCAAATTCTTCCAAAAATTTGATCCTCGTTTTACCCGTTATAAGCTAGCAAGGGGACCTAATAGACCTACAGATCTGAAGCTCTAACGATACGAGATTAATCGGTCAAACTCATTTACCGAGTTAATCAACATTCGTTAACTACGGGTCATTCCACTAAAGACCCGCAGTTGCACTCTTCTCACTGCAGAATGTTTTCGTGTCCACGAATATACGACCATTAATGACAAGTCAATCTTTCACGAGTGCTCGTAACTCAAGTTGGGTCAAATTACTGTTTTACCCCTGAGTTACATCTTACTCATTAAATACCACTGCTTCTCTAATGAACAATTCGGTTATGGTCCGACCAATAACCGGAAGTCCCTCTCGGGACAATGAGAGGGTGGGGCCCCTTGTTTAAGTCCCGGAGTCAGCATTTAAGGGAGCACTCATCTACTCTCCTAAAGTCGGAGAGGAGTGAATTCCATCTTGTGAAGTTATGTTCTCAGCTCCCTACTCGGTCCGTCCCCAAAATAGTAGGAATGTTGAGTCGGCAACTTGAGCCACTCTCACCCATACAGATCAAAGGACGAGCCCTCACGGGCAGGAGTCCATAACTCACTCAGGATTGAGAATGAGTTGCCTGATCATCCTAAGAAACAACAATCTATTAGTTAACGGTGTTACATCTAAAGATTGACTGTTTCGTAGTCCGGTCTTATACAAACTCATTGTATAGGATACCCCCACTCGCATGTCTCTAAACGAACGACCTGGATCGAGTCGTCTGTATTCTTTACATAGTGGGCCGTATCCATAGTGTTGCCAGGATAAGGTACCCAGCCTTATCCATATACTATAGACCCTTTAGGTTATTCACGGGACATTATCCACTTGTATATCAGGGTATATCAAATATATACCTCGTATATCAGGGGTATATCAAATATATACCCAGTATATATATTGTCTCGGTTACACTAAAATAACCTCGGATGTTTAGTTTATTGGATTTTGGACAATGTAGTGCAATGAATTCAACAACAAATTTATTGAATAAAACTTCATTGAATATACATTTGTTTTTACATAAATACAAAGTACGAGTTTAGGGCAACACACCCAACAAACTCCCACTTGAACTAAACTCGAGTGGGGTGTATATTATCATAAAGCAAAGGGAAAATACAATAAACTAGGGCATACACTATTCCCATTACATTTCTCCCACTTGCCCTAGACTAATCGTACAAAGCTCGTAGACCTAGACTTTCTAGATGACCCTGAAACACTTTAGCTGTAAGTGCCTTCGTAAAAGGATCAGCAATATTTTGCTCCGAAGCGATCTTTGTGTCAATCACATCTCCTCGTTGCACTATCTCCCGTAAAGGTGGTACTTCATTTCAATGTGTTTGCCTCTCTTGTGGCTTCGAGGTTCTTTAGAATTTGCCACAGCACCACTGTTATCACAATAAAGTGTGATGGGCAAGTTCATGTTTGGAACGACTTCCAAATCTGTCAAGAACTTTCTAAGCCAAACCGCCTTTTTTGCTGCTTCACAAGCTGCAACATACTCAGCCTCCATGGTGGAGTCTGCGATGCATCCTTTTTTGATGTTTCGCCAAACTACCACTCCTCTGTTAAAAGTGAATACTGACCCCAACGTGGATTTCCTTGAATCCTTATCTGTTTGAAAGTCAGAGTCAGTGTATCCTGTAAGGATCAAATCCTTAGGGCCATAGACGAGCTTGTAGTCCCTCGTTCTCCTCAGATACTTGAGAATTCCCTTAACAGCAATCCAGTGATCATATCCTGGGTTGGATTGGTACCTACTGACCTTCCCTACGGCATAGCAAATGTCAGGCCTCGTGCACATCATAGCGTACATCAGGCTGCCCACTACTGAAGCATAGAGTATACGTCTCATATCCTCAACTTCTTGAGGTGTCTTACGACATTGTTCCTTAGACAGATGAATTGCATGCCTGAAGGGTAATAAACCTTTCTTGGAATTCTGCATCGAATATCAAACAAGCATCTTGTCGATATAAGTTGCTTGAGACAGAGCTAACGTTCTGGTCTTGCGATCCCTTAGAATTTGGATGCCAAGAACATACTGAGCTTCTCCCAAGTCTTTCATTTGAAACTCAGTCGCTAGCCACTTCTTTATGTCAGTGAGGTATCCTACATCATTCCCAATGAGTAGGATATCATCTACGTACAACACTAAGAAGGCTACAGTGTTGTTGACGATCTTCTTGTATACACAAGGCTCATCAACGTTTTGGTCAAAACCATAAGATTTGATCGTAGTATCGACCTTATGTTCCAAGATCGAGATGCTTGTTTCAGTCCATATATGGACCGTTTAAGTTTGCAAACCTTTTGCTCTTGACATTGAGCTATGAACCCTTCGAGTTGAGACATATAAATACTTTCTTCAAGATTGCCATTAAGAAAAGCAGTCTTGACATCCATTTGCCATACCTCATAGTCATAATATGTGGCAATGGACAAAAGTATTCTAATGGAGTTAAGCATAGTTACAGGAGAGAAGGTTTCTTCATAGTCCACCCCTTCCCTTTGTGTGTAGCCTTTTGCCACAAGTCTCGCCTTAAAAGTCTGTACTTTTCCTTCGGCGTCTCATCTTCAGTTATAGATCCATTTGCATCCTATGGGTTTTACCCTGTCAGGTTGATCTACAAGTTCCCAAACAGAATTGAAGTACATCGACTCCATTTCCAGG